CCACCTGTTTAGCTTCATGGATACTGACAGAGCCTCATCCCAGACCCCTCTGTATGCCTCAGAGCCCCAAAACTGGGCAGCCCCCAAATCAATCGAGAGCACCTGGGGTTAGAAAGACAAGACCAGGCTGGAATCACTTCTTCTTTGAAGACTTTATTTGCAACTTTCATCCTTTCTCCCACCAATGCTCAACCCATCAAAGCCATTCATGGACAGTGGAAGCGATGTCAGAGCAGCCCAGGCAGGTGGTTGAGCATGTCTACCCTGGCCCAGAGCATCACAGAGTCAGCAGTGGGGCATCATCCACTCAGGAGCCTGGGACTGCAGATCCCGAGGGAGGGCAAGCCACCTCCAGCTCCTTAGCGATTTGCCTTGAGAACACCAAGCACAGCTATAGCCACTGTCCTTTATCTTTTAAATTTCTTTTTTTTGTTGTTTAATAATAGAAAACAAAAAGTAAAACCTTCTATAATTTATAAGCTATTTTTTTGCTATCTACATTATATATAAAATATAGACTCTGTTTTACTTTATAACACACATCTTTTCCCTTTGATAAATAACTTTAAAATATCTAGTATACATGCCTTGACTTTTTATATATATAAGTTTGGTTTTATACATATACATACATATATACCCATGTTTGTAAAACAATAAATATACACTAGACAATGACAACCAAACCAATGCAATTTTGGTTTTAAAAAAGGAAATGAAAACAAATGACAGACTATAAAAGCACCAGGCAGCAAACAAAGCCATAATTGCTAGAAAGTTCTCCCTCCCCTAAACCAGGGACAGGGCAGAATAAAGGAGCAGATCAGGTCACAGGCTTTTGCTTCTTCACCTGGGATGTCACGCAGCACTACAAATAAGCCACTGCATTTCTTAGAAGCTATGGGGCTCATTGAACAGCCTAGCCCTTGTGGTGGCTGCAGGGGACAGCAGAGAGCTGGACAGGGCACAGGAGACAACAGTGATGGGTGACTCCATGGCCATGATGATTTCCCAGCTCTACTGGCCCAGGCAAGGTTTGATCGCTGCACTAAACATCAAGCATTTCAACTAGAAGATTCTTTTTATCACTCTGTTCTCTGCTGGTGTAAACAAGGGGCCGCAGCAGATTTGTGAGTATTCAGTAGTGCAACGTGTCAGTAGCCTGGAAGAGAGCCAGAGGCTTCAGTGGCCCTCTCAAGGACTCCAGCAGATAAGGACCCTGATGCAGGGGAGAAAAGGCCAGTTGGGTCTGCTAGCTTCCTTTTTACACTAATGCAGTCACTCAGACTGATAAACTCTGAGGAGAGCACTGACCTCTCTTAGAGAAGCTCAGGAGGGCTCAACATCACCTCCAGCTAAACTCAGAATAACCCATCCACTGGATGCTGACCACAATGAGCCAGCAGAACAGCCCAAGTGCTGGAGATGACTGTGGAGCCATACTGAAGACTCTTGACACCTCCCTTCTTCCTCCCTTGCCAAATAGGATTGTCTGACAAGTGGTAAGATCCCCAGTGTCACCATCCTATCCTGCAAGCTCTGGGGTTTTGGTGGGCAAAAGAAATCACTAGTGGATGGAGCAAGAGTCACAGGCTAGTCAGAGTGAAGATTCACATTCAGCAGTAGAACAACAGCCAATAGTAGAGTGGGCTTCAGGTCCTCCTCAGGGTGAACACCCGACTCTATGTTCCCTAGTCTCCAGAGATGCATAATTAGAGATAACCCTTTTGTTTTATAGTCACAAGGTTTTCTGAATACTTTCAAGACCTCATTGAGGCTGGAGGTGTGGCTGAGTGACAGAGAGCTTGCCTAGCATGCACAAAGCCCAGGTTTTTATCCCTAACACATATGTAAAATAGGGGTTTTCCTGTCACAGCTCAGCAAATACTGTCGGGTATAGTACAGGTCTGAGCTCATCAACGAGGCAGCTTAATGGCCTTGGATGAGCCTCCCCTCCCTGTGTGGTAGCCCTGAAGGTACAATACATCAGTCAGTTACAGACTGCACATCAGGAAAAGATAGGCTCCCCAACCCTGTATCTAAAGAAGTGGGTGGCAGTGGCCATTGTGTTCCTCCCTAGGGTGTTTGATAGATGACACCCTGAAGTCCTTTCATGTGCAGTTGGGTCAACTTTCTCCCCAGGGCTATCTTCACAGAGCTGATTTCCTCCAGCACCCACTAGAAAAAGAGACCAGATGAGAAAGCTAATTCGTAACCCACAGGTCAAGTTCAGTAGCTAGTCAGTGAACTAGATTAAGTAAGAAAGAGCTTAATGGTGCAATGCACAGCTAAACCCCAAAGTCCGAACCCCTTCCTGGGAAAAGATGTCTTCCTGTGCTACACTTAGGCCCTACAACCAAGTCCAAGGCCATCTATGATAGCCTTACTTAGAAAGTCCCCAGGGCCAAGGGCTGCTGAGTCACTTACAATTAAACGTCAACATGGGAAAGTCATCTTAAAGGCAGCCAAGCGACATTTCCATTTGGGAAGGGGGAAGACACACTCCTACCTTTGCAGCTGTGACTGCCAGCCTGCTGGCATCCTGCTCAACTGGGGGCATTGTGGATCTCAGGCCACTCCTCCTACAGGTGCTCCTTGAGGTGGGAGCACGCCCCCTCAGGACTCCCTGAGGAATGCTTGTCAGGTAGTGGTGTGTGCACTCATTGTGTGACTTGGGGCATGCCACATCTTCACATATAAATAGAGGGAATGAGACAGTACCCAATGCTATTTTTATAGATGATGATAAGATGTGTCTACAATACTCTGCATTCAGTGGGTGAGCCAGGTGACATTGTACCTTGAATGGTGACAAGATCTGACACAGAGATGTACTGCCAGGGAAACTAAGATGCTTTGAAGGAACCCCATGATGAAACTTTACCACTGAGAAGAAGTCTTAGAGGAGTTGACACTGACCACAGAGGCATCCTAGATTCCAGATTTTGCAGATAAGCCCAGGACATTACCAAACACTTGTCTGTATATATGTGTGTTTATGTGTATATACTACATACCTACATACACACACGTATATGTATGCTTTAAAATCTCTAGGAACCCAGACATTTGGTAGAGGCCATCAGCAGTATTTATAAAATGCTAAGAGCAAGCAAGGCAAGGAGAAATTGAATGGCAAGGCTCCTATCAGCCTGTGGAGGCTGGGTTATTGCCAGGACTTGGATCCAAGTCATTTTGCAGAATGTTGAGAGCTTGGGATCTCAGCCTCGCACTGCTACAGCCAATCAAGAATTTGCACATGGAAAGGCAAGAGCCGAAGGAGCACTGAAGAAGCTCCTAACCCCATGAGCTGCCATTTTTACATCCAAAGAACTGCTTCAGCTTCTCTACCTCCTGTTGGTGCCTCTACCACGCGCATTCCAGTTGATAGAATCTCACTACACTTACGGCTCTCTCATGCTTCTTCCAGAGAATACATATTCTTTCTATACCCTCTAGCCTCAGATGGGAGTTTTTGTTTTAGACCCTGCATGTTTACCACAGAGCTCAGAAGCCTCTAGAAGGAAAACTCTCAAATATCCTGGGGAGAGTAGAGAAACCAAAAGTTGAACGCCCAAGCATATCTTCTTAGGTAAATGATCTGGAAAAATGAACCTCATAGAGCCATCCACCATGTTCCTGATTTCATCCTTAATTACAGCTTTTCAGAGTAGCTGGGGGTGGGGCAGAATTACTGCCTCAGAGAGCAACTTAGGAGAGTAGGGACCCCAGAAAAGTCTATGATTTGGCTGTTTACAGAGTGCTGTTTCGATCTGATAACTGCATACCTGGAACACTATGAGGGATGACAACCAATCAAAGCCATGGAAGGTTTCAGCTGACTTTACCACGTTTTATAGTGGGGTCCTCCAAAGGCAACACCTGCCCCTTCATGCTAGAAAATGACCATGATTCTGTTGGCATGTGGCCTCCAGTATGACTGTCTTCTGTAAATTACCAGGGCCCCAGGGAGGAACACTGACTGGACTCAGGCCGACTACTTAGAGGGACAAGTGTTGTGGATTGCCCTGGTCTTCCACAGGCTTATTGGGGTTGGAGATTTACCATAACAGACTAGTCTACATAGCCAGCCTCAAAATTGCCACATGCTGGTGAAGGTTAGCAAAGCCAGCCACGAAAAAGACAACACCCCCGTTTTCAAAATGTATATGACTTGACCTTTCAAGACTAGATTTGAATGTTTTAGTGATACTTGAGGATAGCAAACATCTACAGAGGTGTGTCTATGTGACAACAGACTTCGTCTGCCTATTTGTAAGCTAGTACTTGGCCATCTCTAGTTTCAAATGGAGAGTAAAAAGGCTAGGCAACCAGGAGGGGAAAAAGAAGATAGGTTTTCCCCCCAACTTGAACCTTTTCCACCTATGTACAGACCTCTCCAGGCTCTAAAATCCCCATTTTAGAAACACTGAGAATTATGTTCCCTGTTGGCTTTTTGTTTTAACACCTATTCAGAAGTTTCCAGCTGTCATAATCCTGAGAGCCAAGGCCAAAGGGGGAGGGAAAGAGACTCTGTGGGGAGAAGCTACAGGCTTCCTGTTTAAGCCTACAAAGTTCAGAGTCCTAAATGTCTTTCTTCAGCTTGGCAGTTGGAGCTTACAGCAGCTCTGGGGCTGGCCTCGTGTTCCCTTCTTTTGGGGTGCTCCTATTGCTACACTCAGGGTTGCAGGCACCCCACCCAGGCAGGCAGCTCTAGTCAAGCCCATGCCTCCTAGAGACCCTCTTGGCAGGACTACTTCATCACAACTCACACTAGTCCCATCCTGTGCTGAAGGAGGGCTTTGAAGTAGCTCACTGTAGCTTGTCATCTAGGTCAGCTCAGAGGTACAGCTCACAGCCTCGTTTGCTGTCCGTTACACTATACCATACTAACAGCAACAAGCCAGATAGATATCTTAATGCTTCCTAGAAGACAGAGCAACCAAAGGAGCTGTGCACTTTTCCTTCAGATTCTTAAAGCAAAACACACAGTGGCTTCCCGGAATTACAACTTTCTCAAAAGCCCCACCACCTCCTCTACCTCCCTCCACCAAAACAAAACAAAAAACCCTATGTAGGCATTTAAAGTGTCCTCTCCTGCCAGTGGGGGGCGCTGACAGAGAGCCTAGCTCTGGCTGAACTTGTCATCTGATACGTAGCCTTGGCTTGCAAAGAAGGCCAAGGTCTGTGGATGGATGAGGTAGGGCAGGGGACAGCCCCTCCTTGCTTCTCACAGTAATGGACTGCAAAGGTGCTAGTTAAACTTTCTTCCTCTCATCAGATACCCAATTAAGATGGCACAACCTTCTGAATATGACATCGGCCCACCACCACCTTTGACTCGGGCCTTCTACTTGGGATGGGGACCACCTTACGTTTTGTGAATTCGTGCTGCCCCTTCCATAATCCCCACCCACGGCCACCGTTCCACAGTGCATTTCCACCTAACTGGTCCCACGCAGCAGGTCGAGTTCACCAGGTCCCAATGTGCTAACAGTAAAGGGACATCCTGCTTCTGCGCATGGCCTCACTGATCAGGTAGGCGGGGCTCAGCTCTGGCTCCTCAGTCATGATAGCAATGTTCTGCCACTCTCCAGTCTGGCTGGACCTCTTGATGGTATCTACCACGCAAAGAGCATACAGGCAGTCGTCGAAGGTGGCAGCCATGGTAAGAGGCCGTCCGTCCCACGTGCGCCGGTCATCTTGATCCTGAAAGGCCTGACGCACTGCCTGCATCATCTTCATAGTGCCCCGCAGGTAGGGCGAAGGGATGTCACTGAATGCCTTCTCAGGCAGCAGGGAGTTGCTCACGGATGTAGTGTCCTGAAGCAGCAGCTCCTGCTCTGGGGCGCTATTGCGCTGCCCATAGAGGTCGGTGCCCACTGCCAGGAGCCGCCCAGCAGAGCCCACCACGGTCACATCCTGCTTGAACTCTCCAGGCACGTTGAAGTTCAGGGTAACGGTGCAGCACACTCCACCCTCCAGTACCATCTGGAAGGTGCAGAAGTCATCGCTGGTGATCTGACGGATGCCCTTGATGTGGTCCGTCTGCTTGACAAAGGTCTTGAGCAGCCCGTGGACCTTGACAGCCTTCTGGCCCGTGAGGAAGGTGAGCAAATCGATGATGTAGGTGCCCACGGAGTGCAGGCCGCCACCACCCATCAGGTCGTCGCAGCTCCAGTTGTACTTCTTGCCCAGCAGACTACCGCTGTGCACCTGCACCTCGCACACCAGCAGTTCCCCCACGTAGCCCTCCTCGATCAGCTGCTTCATGCGTACGAAGGCTGGCAGGAAGCGCAGCACGTTGCCCATGATGCTCATGAGCTTGGGGTAGTAGTGGGCAGCTGACATCATGCGGAAGGCGTCCAGCGGTGTGGCGGTGCGGTCACAGATGACATTCTTGCCGATGCCTGGAGAAAGCAAGAACAGTAGATCAGTGCTCTGTGTGGAGGGAGCACTAGGGGGCGCTGTGGCCACCGAGGGAGTACCACGCTAGAGGAGCCCTCTCAATTCTCCCATTGGACAAGCTAGCCAAACAGAAGTTACTGTTGCAAACTGCAGAAAAGAAACACAACAGATACCCACGATCTTCCATACGCGCACACCTAGTTGTAGCCCTCGATGTCAGTCTTTAAGCATACAGAGTGCCGGAATCTGCTTGCCAGTTCTGAAAGATGGCGGTTTGACTGTCCCGTCTCAGGACTACAGCTGCCTTTGTAACTCCTAGAACCCAGGTAAGGATGGAGGCTCTGGCAGAGGGATGAAGTAAAGATGGTTTGTACCACCAGGTGCCATATTCCCATATCACAGTGCTCTGACAACAGGTCCATGCTGCCAAGGACAGATTAACTCATATAAACAGATAATCCCTACAAGGATGGGTGACAAATACAGCCAGCATCTGGGTTACACCTGTGGACTATGAGCTCTGGCTACTCTCTATGCTATACCCTACCTCAGAAGCCCCCAAACCAACCATCTAACAGCCAATCCTTCCCGTTATATTCTACTGGACATGTGAATGGCCCTTTTTGAATTTTTTTTTCTCGCATGAAAAAATATGAAAGAAAACCAATCTACTTCACCACATCCACCCCAAATGAGCAGTGAAAGGTGAGCTTCGCTAGCTCAGCAGATGAAAAGATTCTGGTGAACGCTCTGGGAAACGGAGGGTGAATATGCACAGAATACTATCCCATCCTAGAGCCTTGTGGATACAGTGTCTCTTCCTTCAGGGTTCTGATACATGCTGTGGTTCCAGAGCCTCTGGTTCTTACTCCTCGAGGATAAGAAGTAGATGCAGTGACCCTTATGCCCATAGCCAGCGTGTCCTACACATATGGATACCCAGTCCCACTCCCCTGCCTACAGCCTGTGACTGTCATGCTTTGCAGATGGGCTTGGGTAGCAGCCCTTGTATACTCTATCCTTGAATACTAGAAGCAACCTCTAGAAATCAAAGAAAAAATGTACAACACACAGTTCCTGCCCCAAGGGTGCTTTGTGCATATTATTTAACACACAAAAAAACCCTGGGAACTGCATAGAGGGCCAAGAATGGATAAGAAAACTGGAGTGTAACCTTCAAACAGAACAATGAGCAGTCCAGACAGAGAGAGGCAGGTGAATCTCTGAGTTCGAGGCCACACTTGACTACAGGGTGGGTTTCAGGACACCCAAGGCTACACAGAGAAATCCTGTCTGAAAACAAAACCAAACTAACGGTGAGTCATGATGGGAGACGGCACCCACAAAGACCATTCATTCAAGGAGAAGCAAGATGACTAGGATGCAGCTGTACATGTACAGGCTATGACTTCATCTCTCCTTAAAGAGACAGAAACAGCCGGGCAGTGGTGGCACACACCTTTAATCCCAGCACTTGGGAGGCAGAGGCAGGCGAATTTCTGAGTTCGAGGCCAGCCTGGTCTACAGAGTGAGTTCCAGGACAGCCAGAGCTACACAGAGAAACCCTGTCTTGAAAAACAGAAACAAACAAACAAAAAAGACAGAAACGTGCTGGAAGGAAGCATCATCATTGACAGTGGTTAACTCTTAACTATGGTCATTCTGGTTGGGTCTGATCTTTCTCCTCCTCTTGCTGGGGCCTGAAAAAGTGCCTGACAATCTTAATGGGTCCTCTCTCACTGACCTAAAGTACCCCCCCAAAATTTGTGTATGTTCTTCATAGCATGCTATGATCAAAAAGAAAAAGGAAGAAATGCTAGGTTGTTTTTATTTTATAAACTTGAGGGTTACAGGGAGACCTTAGACGGCTCTACTCAGGGTGATGGGGAAAGACCGTTATCTCTTGGTCCTTGTGCCTACAAGAGCTGGTGACAGCGCTGCTGACTTTGAATTCTGTAGGTTTCAGAGGCTCAGGCTGTGTGCGTGTTCCTCCTGGTCCGGCTGTGAAAAGTTCTTTGCATGTGATACTGGTGGGTGAAATGCAAGGGCTTGTCGCACGCTAGGTATGACCTCTGCCAGTGACCCACTCCCTTCCTTTTTTTTTTTTTTCAGGGTTTGGCTAAGTTACCCAGGCAGGATTTTAAGGCCCACTGAGTGGAAAACTGGCATCCTCCTGCCCCAACTTCCCTAGTAGCAGGGATAAGAGATCTGACACCACTAGAGATAAGGCTGCTCTGGACTCACCTTGTTCAGTCTCAGGAGACAGACTGTTTCTTTTTTTCTAAAGAAAGGATAGGAGAGCCTCTGCTGCCATTCCATATCCCTGTGGCAGTGTACCACATGAGGTGTGGTAGAGCATCTTCATGGGAAAGGTACCTTTCCTCTAAGGCAGGGGACCCAAGCTTTGGAACTACCAACAATCTCCCAGAACATTCCCATTGCAGCCAATCAGCAAAGGCCCTTGGAACAACACATGCGTCCATTCTGCACACACAGTAAGGACAAAGCAGATGAAAGGCAAACAAAGTGGCTGAGAAAAAGCATTTGTGTTTTTGCAAGCCCCAAACATTTCCTGAGCACCGAAAGGGCTCCATCAGAGCCCTCAGCTGTTAACAGCAGTGTGAACAGGCAGGCATTCTGCGAGTCCACTGCAGCTATGACAGATACCAGCCACCCTGCCACCAGGAGCCATCATGCTCCAGCTCCAAATTCAGTTGGCTTACTGAGGTACCGGTCCCCGTGCCCAGAAATGAATGTCTTGGGACACACGGCCACACTGGCCATGTGGTCCTGTGTGACTGAGAGTGGATGGTAGAGGACACATGGAACCATGTCGGGCCATCCAGGGAAGGCTTCTTAGTTGTGTTCTGCATGGACCCAGACCTTAGTCCAGACATGAGACCTCTGTAGCTAAACTAACTTCATTTTTAGGACCAAGACCCCCATCAACCAAGTGAGAGCTCCCTGGTTATTAAGGAGAAAGATGGAACCTTCCCACCTATGCCTGGAGCTGAGGCTGGGAGACAAGGGGAGGCGGGCAGGGAACCTAATGTAGGATGTACATACTCCAGCTGTGGGGAAGTGCTGCTGCTCTTCATCGCAAGCAGCTCGAGGCCCTCCTGAGGTCTCATGGGAAGTGGAAATTTGGTTTCTTCCAGCCCACTGAGTGTGTTTTCTGTCACTGGGCTAAATGCCCACGGCCCTCACAAAGAATTAATGCCACAGAGGGAAGATGTTTCCAACTATGAGATACTAAAGCCATCTTGTAAGCAGCTGCTTCCCTCATTTCCTCTAAGCTCAAGGTCTCTCGACTTGTGACTAAGTCCCAGCCCAGGTCTTGACCTCCACGAGACCAGAACTTCTGTGGGCTGATTCTCTATGCAAATACTGCTTCTGCATACTGGGAACCTAGGTGAGAAGTTTCCCATGGACACACTGAGGAAAGACACCCACTCTCTGCTCTCCTATGGAGCAGGCAGAAGATGGCAGCCACCCAGCAGCCAGGGCCATCCCCAGGCAGAATCAGCCAGGATCTTCAAAGCATCCTTCCCTGCCAGCGTATTTCCAACTGTACACTCCCTTATCTGATCAGGGTGGAATCTTCAAGACTGATGCCGGGTTCCCACAGTTCCTCCTGATCACTCCACTTGTGCTGACAGTCCCGTATCCTCTGGGCAGCTGTCCCAGCAGACTGGCAAAATTCCCAAAAGACATTCCATCAGATAGGGTCTCCTTTGTCTGAGGGTAAAGAGAAGCCCTTTCTGCAGGTAACTCCTTACCCTAACTTACACCCTGGCCCTTGATCTTTTCCACAGGTGACTCCTTTAAAAGTCTAACCCTCCAATGCTCCCAGACTCTGGGACCAACAAGATGCACGGAGCTCCCAATCCAATTAGTAGAGGAAAGCCACCAGGCCATGAGTGCTTACAGGTTGCAGAGCTGCAAACAATACAATATAGCATAGAAGCGGAGCTGCCCAGCTGCTTTGAGCGAGTGAGAAAGCTGTGCTTAAGAGGTAACATTTTAGCTGGGTTCTGAAGCATGTGTAGGAGTTTGCCTATACAACATTCAGTTGATTTCCATGTAGAAACGGATCTAAAAACAAAGGTACTTACTTGCGATCCAGAAGCCACCAACTCTGGACGGTTTACAAAATATTCTAAGTCTACTGTGAAGTGCGATTTTCTGAACTAAGCTCACTAGATTCCTAAAAGAACCTATCATTCAAAATAATTAAGCTGTGAGTCTAAAGAAATGGTTCAGTGTTTAAAAAAATAAGTGCTACTCTTCCAGAGGACTTGAGTTTGGTTCTCAGCACCCTCATCACGAGGCTCACAACAGCCTTAATTCCAGCCAACCTGATACCTCTGGCTTCCATATATACAGATATGCCCCAGCCCGCGGGGCAGTGAACAGGGGACTGGAAGAGAATGGGGGGGGGAGACAAGGAACATGAAGAACGAACAGCAAGTCAAGAGATCTGATCAAGCTGTCGAATTTTAATTGTTCCCACACAGGTTATATACTCATAGAAACAGGATATGGGGTAGGGGGTGACGTAGGGTTGCTTTGTTCCTGAGGGGCGCAGGTGTTCTCAAGAACAGGATGTTGGCTGGGTAAAAAGTTCAGCAGAAGGAACAGAGCAGAACAGGTTGGTAGGTACCTGTCCATAAGATCTATAGTCATTTGTTCTTAACTAAGCTGGTACGATCCCACAGAGGCTACCTGTCCACAAGATCTACAGCTCCTTGTTCTCACCTAGGTTAGTGCTTTCCCACAGAGGCCAAGACTCCGTGCCAATAAGCACGTATGCCTGACAAAGCAGTTAATGTTTAAGCAAGGTTGCTCCCAACACAGATATATAAAATTTTTGTTGTTCTTTTGTTTGTTTGTTTGAGACAGGGTCTTACTATGTAGCTCTGGCTGGCCTCGAACTCACAGAGATTCACCCGCTTCTGCTTCCTGAGTTCAGGGGACCAAAGGCGTGTATCACCACACCCAG